TTTTCGTTAACGTTCCTCAAAAAAAATAATTCGTTCATTTTCCTCGTTCCTTTATTTTTAAAGAAAGCAGTTTCAAGCTTTGTTCCTACAAAAAGAACTCGTTCCAGGAATCCGTTCCTTTTGGAACAAATTCCTTCTCAACACTGCTCGTAGGTACATATTTTTCTACATTTTTCAATAATTAGAATATTTTTATCTTCAACCCATACATGTAAAACAAGTATCGCATTTAGTTTTTTTTTAACGAGAAAGTATGTTTTTAATCTTATATTTCTGTAGAAAAAAATGTTTAGCGATGGAATTTTTAACTTTTTGTTCGATAACTTTATAAAGACTTTAATTTAAAATCCGTATTTGATGGGTTAAAAATAAAACAGTAACCTTTTTATCTGCTATTAAATAAAAATATTGATTTCAATCGGTAATACCGTCACTGATAAGAAGACATAAATAACATTAGCTCCATTTTATTTTTTATATTATATAAACTAAGTTTTAGGTAAAACTTGTACTTTGTTTTTCTAGTTTCGCGAAAATATGGACACACAAAAACATATTTTTTTCGATTTTTGTTTGTTGTTATTGAGTTTTAGTACAATATACTGCTATTCGATGTATTTTAGCACTAGTTCAAACAAAATATTTTACGCTTTGTGCGAAGAAACCCATGTACAACAACATGTTTTTCGACGCTCGTGTCGCACTATTCGATACAGGGTGTCCCGCCAGGATTTAACGATCCCATCTTAGTTATTAGATTGACAACACTCTAGACTATGGTGCACAAAATATATCATATCGAATACATTTACGATGGTCATTGAAAGAATAGGAACAATTAAACTGAGATGAGATTTTAAGTTTCTCTTAACCGACCAACCGTCCCAAAATTAATTTCATATAACAAAATTTTTTTTGAACAAATGATTTGCATATTTTTAAACTGTTATTCATTTAAAGAGAATCACGCTTGATTGATTAAATTAAATCATGCTATTTTTAATATTTTCGTCCATCAACTTGTAGCCCTGAGTTTTTTATAAAATATTTCATTATTTTATTACTATATCCAAATAAAGATATATTTTAATTATAATTAAAAATCATGAATGATAATACTTTGTATTATGACTATATACTGCTCCTATTTCTATTCAATTTTATCCCTTTTATTTATAATAATTCCTGTAGACCTGCTACTCTCCGTCCCTCATTGCTTTCATTCCATTATGCCTATACTATACTGCACTAGTCCTGACGGATAAAATTACTTTCAAAATTAACGCTTTGATGATTATTTTGTAAAATATACAACGCCTCAATTTAATACTTTCAAACTTTGCTGGTTTATGCTGCGCTTGGTTTGGACTGTACTAGCTTGAAAATACTAACTACTGATTTGCATCGAAGCGTTTATTCGAAAGTGATTTTATCACTTTAAGATTTAAAAATTCCTGAAAACCTGTGACCTCCCCGTCCCCACTATGCCACGACCCAACTAAATTGGTGTTTTTTTTTTTTGATAAAACATAGTGGCCCAAATAACACATAACCAATGTCCTGTTAAAATGTAGTTGGAATGGTCGTGATTCATGTTTTAATCGTTTGTACTCCATAATTTAAATTATACCTGTACTTAAATTTAAATCCTTATTTATAAGTGAAACAGTAGTCCTTTTATCTGCTATTTAATAATAATATTGATTTCTATCGGTAATACCGTCAGCGATAATATGTGAACAATCGATTTTTTATCTACTTGCTCGGAAACAAATGTCCCCTAGGATTCGTTTCAGGATAAGTTTCCAGTACAAGATTCTCTAAAAAAAAATTAATTAATTCAATGTGATGAATTTGTCACAGGCCACAGGTCTATAAGAGTTATTACAACTTAAAGGAATAAAATCTATTTTAAGTAAACGCTTCGATACAATTAAAAGTCAGCCGCAATATGTTATTACGATACAACATAATCAGAGACACACTATATAAGTTTTAGGTTTCTTCAAATAGTTGAACAATTCTTCATGGACAATCTATAAGAGGTCGATAAAATCTAGCTAGATCGCCCCAAACGCACAAATATTCTATGGTAACGTTCAGCGTGATGCGCGCACGCACGGATTTTCTTATTGAACTCCAGCCAAAAAAACATATGGTTTATGGTCCTTTTATTTTTTTTAAATAAAATAAAAACCACTCAGTTGCCCTTTCGAAGTTCTTAAACTTAAGAATTCTTAAAATTCATATCTATTTTTGACAACATTTTTCGGCAGATATTATAATGTGTTAGACATCATAGCATCAGACTAAATTTTTAATTATTAAAATTATGTATACTTTGTATTGTATTATTACAATTATTAAAATAATTAATAGTTGGTTGCTATAAATGACGACTAGTTCAAAAAGCGAATAACAATATGATATATTTTTTAACACCTTTTATTGATTTGATTAAGTCACATTATTCATACACACGTTTGAAATTGTCATTAAAATTTATAATATAATTATTTAAAGCAAAAGTTAAACAGAAAAAAAATAATAAAATATCACTATTTTGTGATTATAATTTGCAAATCAATCTTCAAACATGCTTTCGGAATAGTTTTTAAATGAACCGATAACTTCAAACTCCACACCGCTAAATTCGTGTTCTATATAATCAAATCTCCGTTGGTTGTTTAACACAATCTGTGTCATATAGTCCATAAAAAGGGTTTGACATTTAATAACGTTTTTGGTCAGTGTCTCAAAAGATTCGACGTTAAGACGCATGGAGCATGCATGGTTTATTAGGCTGTATATGCGGTCTTGTTCGCGTTTGTCGGTGCCTTTAATGTCTTTCAATAATTCCCTTAGAATAAGGGAGTCGTTATCAATTGCCGGTCTCAAAAGCAAATGATCGATTTTGAAATAAGATTTACAATCGTCGATTATCACATCCTTGGTTATTTTGTCGATTCTCTTACGAATCGTTGTCTTCAATTTGTCCACAAACTGTTTGATTAACTTTCGCGTTATGCCGGTACGTTTACCACGAATTTCTTTCAGAGATTTAGAATATTCAGAACGCTCATATTGGTCGTTATACACGTTATTACTATCTGTATTTTTGCAATTCATTTCAGTGCACTGTGCGAGTTGGGTAGAAACTTTTTCGTGCTCTCGCAACACACGGTTTAGTTTATCTGCGACGTTTAATTGACGGTTTTTGTCTAGGGAGTTCAAACTGGTCGTGTACGTGTACACGAGCCATAAGTGATCCATGCCATCGGTCATGCCGAAATTGTACAAAACGTTCATCATGTCGACCACTTGGTCTTCGAAAAAAAACACGGATTCTACCCGATAATCTGTCAGTTCCTTTACGGCATCCTTACCATTGGCGAACAACAGCAGTTTGATCAGATTAATGTAATGACTACAATTGAACAAATAACTACACAGCAGGTTTCCATAGACATCATCGATCGCTGTCTTCGGCGTCCACGTTCGACTTCTCTTTTGTGCAGCATAACTATCCGTTATCTGTTTATGAGAGTATCCCGTATCTATTTTCAGCAATTTTTCATAGTGATCATTCGTTTTATCCTTTGCGAATTTTTGACGTTTACACTGATCTCCCGCTGTTATCAACGGGTTAGCGATAACCAGCAATACCAATGGCCAAAAAAGCGACATGATCTAGTTTTAACTTCAACAAATATTTAATATTACAAAACACTCCAACTGTGTATCACACGGCAGTACTAAACTGAGCGTTTTGTTAGGTAAAACTTGTATTTTGTATTTCTAAGTTTCACGAAAATATGGACGCACAAAAACATATTTTTTTGGATTTTTGTTTGTTGTTATTGAGTTTAAGTACAGTATACTGCTATTCGATGTTTCTTAGCACTAGTTTAAACAAAATATTTTACGGTTTGTGCGAAGAAACCCATGTACAACAACATGTTTTTCGACGCTCATGTCGCACTATTCGATACAGGGTGTCCCGCCAAGATTTAACGATCCCTTCTTAGTTATTAGTTTGTCAACACTCTAGACTATGGTGCACAAAATATATCATAACGAATACGTTTACGATGGTCAATGTAAGAATAGGAACAATTAAACTGAGATGAGTTTTTAAGTTTCTCTTCACCAACCAACCATCCCAAAATTAATTTCATATAGCACAATTTTTTTCGAACTAATGTTTTGCATATTTTTAAACTGTTATTCATTTAAAGAGAATCACGCTTGATTGTTTAAATTAAATCATGCTTTTTTATTTTTTGTTTACAACTCGTAGCCCTGAGTTTTGTATAAAATATTTCATTATTTTATTACTATGTCCAAATAAATAAATAGTTTAATTATAATTAAAAATCATGAATGATAATACTTTGTATTATGACTAGATACTGCTCCTAATTCTATTCAATATTATCCCTTTGTATTTATAATAATTCCTGTAGACCTGCGACCTCTCCGTCCCCTCGTAGCTTTCATCCCGTGATGCCTATACTATACTGCACTAGACCTGTCGGATAAAATCACTATCAAAATTAACGCTTTGATGGTTATTTTGTAAAATATACAACGCCTCAATTTGAATGCTTTCGAACTTTGCTGGTTTTTTACTGCGCTTGGTTTGGACTGTACCGGGTGATTGGTTAACTATGGACCACTCAATATCTTAGAAGATATTAGACTTTTTTAATAATTTTTTTTTTGTACTATTATAGTTATTAGGTGGGACAAATTTAATGTATTTTTCAAAATTTTAACACCATCCCTTATGCGTTAAAACCATATCAACTTTGGATTTTTAAATGGTAACCCCCAATTTTTTTTTGATGATCGTGTTTATTTTTTTTAAATTTAATTTTAGGCGTAAAAACTAGGTAAATCGATTGAGTAGTTAACGAGCTACACAGTTTTAAAATTAAAGGGAGTGTAAAAAATAAATTAAATATCTTGGAGACGCTAACATATTAAGGTGACTGCTCTCTGTTATTATTTATTGACAATTAACTTTGACAATAGCTATAGTAGCGTTTAAAAATCATAACCGTACCAAACACTATTTACTTTAGGTAAATAATTCACCGATAGTAAATAATAATGATAACCGCTATATCGACTGACAAATATACCACCACTACACACTTCTACATTTATTTTATAAAATAGTAAGTATGTTTAATTTGTTATCAATACCTTGTGTATATTTTTCCAGCATTTAGCAATTATATGTTTTGGTTAATTTGACACATTTTGATTAGTCATGCGATTTGTACGTCTTAATTTCATAGTATATTATAATAATATAGTATCATAACTTACTAGATCTATGAACTTGTCAACATTTATTGTGTTTTAAATAATAACATTGATATTAAATATCCATAATCAATGTGAATACCAAGATGGAGTTTTGCTCAAGTGACAAGTCTATAAAACCTATAACCTTACTTATAAAATGTATGCACATCAAATATCAAAATTAAAGGTACTTATAATAATAATATGTTATTTAAAATAAATAGAGTAATTTGAATTATGCTTGATGATATTTTAATTAAAACTTTTATTCTTACAGTATTATGTCTTTGTTCTGAGAAACTTATAAATGTGTAGTTTTGTGTTTTAACATATTGGTATCTGAATTCAAAGAAAAAATATAAAATTTTTTATGAAAAAATTGAATCTTCAATCATCATTTACTGAATCAATAATAGGTAAGATAATGTATTTATTAATATAGGTGTATTGTATAAGTACATTTTTTTATTAGAAAAATATAATTAATCGTTTTTTATTATTCATGAACATATAAAATGTTTTTACATAATAAGTTTTTTTGGATTACTTATGTTTATCATACTTAATATGTTTAATTAAATAGCGTTACTTAAAAATTAACGTTTAACTTAAAAATTATCATACTTATATAATTATAAAAAATATATGTGTATACTGATATTTGTTGCTTAACCATATAATTATTTAAGTATCTAAGGAACTTATTTAATTTTTTTAATTATATGTTTCAGTATGTTCAATATTAATATGGACTATCTCAACTTAAATTGATATTTGTTATTGTCTACAACTACACTACTACCAACGTCAAATTTGGTGTATTATATTACTGTAGTCAATCAGTCTAATCTAATTCCATCAATACATTGTCGAATGTTGTGGTATTCAATTTTCAGTAAATTTATAGGTGTTTTATTTTAAGGTAAAATATATAAGATCATCAGTTTGCAATAATTTAGTTAATTTCTGTGAATTCATCTCTAACAATTTATTTTTATTATTATTATTTTTTAGTTACTGTGGCACACTATTGCAGATAACGGTTTTCCATTAAGTCAGTAAGAAGAATAAGATGGATTCACAAGTTCAAATCAAATATTAGACAACTATATATATTTAATTATTCAGCTAAAAATGTAATTCAATAAAATAATTTAAAAGTACTTTATCATTTTAAAAGTGACATAAAGTTTTTAAACTCTAAGTATTTAAACACACATATACTTAACATATCTATAATTATTATACATTATTTATTAATTATTAATGATGAATTCTTTATTTAATATTAATTTAATCTAAAATGCTGCTGAGAATGTTAATATTTCTAAAATATGTTATTGTCTTAATCCAAATCTTGAAATTATTTTCATGATGGCATAGTTTTGGCATTAGCTATTACAGAATTTATTGACAATTTTCTAGTGGTTTACGATTAAGTTTTTATAAGTTATAAAGTAAATAAAATTATAAAACACAAAATAAAAAAAATAAAAATGTCAACTATTGGATTAAGTGTAAAAAAGTAAATTGAATGAATATACTTATAAATATTTTTTAACTTAAATATGTAAATGGAGATGGATTTCTTCTAGTGGGAAATCATCAAACAAACTTTACCGTCCAAGGTAACTTCCTATAAATACATCACTATATACAGCAATATGTTGTACCTCTATTATTTACAAGTTAATTATAGATATGTTAATTTTATTTAGTCTTAGTTTTTCAATATGATTTAGCAAATAAAAATGTTTATTCGTATCTTATAAGCGTATTATTTATCTTGTTACTTGTTTTTTTATTTTACTATTATCATAATAAACATAGCATAATATAGTATTTAAATGTTTGTTAGTAATATTATTATTGAATTTTAAGCTTATGACTGTTAAAAAAGCCATACAAAAACAAAAAAAATTGTACTTTTTCATTGTCACTCTTTATTTTTGTTTATACCTCGTACAACGAAAAAAACAATCATTTATTAAATAAAAAACATACTTTTACTGTTCATATTATGAACACATTAAAATAAGTAAGAATAGTCAATACTATGAAATATATACAGTATAATATACTAGTATAGTATAGTAGTGTAATATAATAAAGAGTTAATAAATAAATACAGCTTTTAATAATTAAAAATACTGAACTAGAAATAGTTAAAATTGACGCGTTACAACTTTAAATTATAAAAATGAAAATTTATTTTAGTGCACAAGTATTGGATGAACGTATTTCTTATGGAATCCTTTGTTATCTAAACATTTTAAGAAACACACTAGATGCCTTATAAAGATGTTGTTTGACATCTTAAGTACCTATCATAACCAGTTCAGACAAATGCTAAAATAGTTTCTGTACATATTAAGTTTAGTTTTTGTTTATTTCTGTATATATTCTGTACATATTAAGTTTAGTTTTTGTTTATTTCTGTATATATTCTGTACATATTATCTATTAACTGTATGTAATACAACATAATACTAAAAAAAACAAAAAATTGAATGTTATTTATTAAAGTTTTTTTAAAAATATTTTCACTAACAGAATTAATAATTTGACTAGTTAAGACACCAGTACAAGTAACACTTATTAAGACCAAGACGCTAAATATTTAAAGTAAAAACCAAGACGCTAAATAACCATAATAATTGAAAAATTAGAATAATGAACTTTTTTATTAGTTTTCAAGTAGTCGTATTTTTATAATAATTTGTTCTGTGTTGATATTAATCTACACTAGTAACGAATCGTTTTGGTAGAACCACGGTATATACTCTATATAAGACCGTGATTAGACCACGGTAACCTATGGTTGAAATTGAAAAAAAAAACTATTTACTAGGGCTCATAATATTGTTTGTTAACAGCAGCTAATGCCTAATATTCAATACGTACAGGTACACCGCACCGCTAGGAACACTACAGAAAAAACAGATAAGAAGACATTACCCATATAATATTGTTATAGATTTATTATTAGTTCGTTTGCATTGTGACCGACGACCGTCAACTATTAACTTTAATCTACAACCGTATCGTTAATCAATCTTATTTTGTGAAACGTGAGATCCGGCGATAAACGATTTTTTTCTTTAGCTGTAAAACTTATAAAAGCATCTCATATGAGCTAATATTATAATATTGTAGTACTAAGCTATAACTTTAAAAGTACTTGTCTGATTTAGCTAGTTTTTACGCCTAAAATTAAATTAAAAAAAAATAAACACGATCATCAAAAAAAAATTGGGGGTTACCATTTAAAAATCTAAAGTTGATATGGTTTTAACGCATAAGGGATGGTGTTAAAATTTAGAAAAATACATTAAATTTGTCCCACCTAATAACTATAATAGTACAAAAAAAAAATAATTAAAAAAGTCTAATATCTTCTAAGATATTGAGTGGTCCATAGTTAACCAATCACCCGGTACTGGCTTAAAAAATACTAACTACTGATTTGCATCGAAGCGTTTATTCGAAAGTGATTTTATCACATTAAGATTTAAAAAAATTCCCGAAAACCTGTGACCTCCCCGTCCCCACTATGCCCTGACCCTACTGTACTGTTTTATATTTCACTACATTACTTCTTTTATCGATGTAGAAGAATTTTAAGTTAATTAAAAATATTATTCTATATTTTAGTTTTACAGATGGTTTGTAAAACCATTTACCAAGTTAATTGTATCTTAAACTTGCATACTTTATTAAAAATTGTAATCCAATATTGTATTATTGTTTTTTTTTTATCGGAAACAGGCGACTGTTTTAATGTAAATAATAATAATCTTTATTTGCTAGTAGTAGAAATGTTACAAGGTAGATTAAATAGATAATGAAATTACTAGCTTTGCTCGACACTGAGGTAGAACCTCTTATCGTAGAGCAAGAATACTTATCAAGATGTTAAATAATTATGAAAAATAACAATAACAAAAGTACAATTAAACTAGGGAATATGATTATAACAAACTGAAAAAAGAAGTAATCATAATAATAATAATAATAAAAGTAATAATCTGTTTTGGAGTATAGAGGGTATACAATAAGAATAATAATAGTATAATAACTAATATATAGAATTTTTGAAATAAGACATTTTTACAAATTATCATAGAACCAACTTTTCAGTTTATATTTAAAATGTGGGAAATTATAGCACTTTCTTATTTCATCTGGGATAATTTCTAGAGACCTTAAACCAACTTGTGTGTATGTATTAGAGGCTTTTTGGGTGTTGATTAAAGGGATGTCAATGTGTTTTATCCTGAGTTTATAAGGGTTAGTTTTATATTTAAATGACTGAGATTTATATATATATGACATATTGCTTGTTTTTTGTAAAGATTTTCAATATTTAGTACTCGTAATTGTTTGAAAAATGCATTTGTAGGAAAAATTTCGGTTTATTTAGGATAACTTTTATTAAGTTCTTTTGTGCTACTGACAAATTATATTTTAAGGTAGAGTTACAGCCTCCCCATGCGATTATTCCGTATTGTGTTTAAGATTGGACCATTTCAAAGTATGTTATCCTAAGGTAGTTTTTGCTTTATATTAGTTTAGCTGTTAGAAAAAAGTGCGTTAGTTGTCTCAGTTTTATTATTAGATTTTCTATGTGAGTATTCCATTTTAGATTTTGGTCAATAAATACTCCTACGTACTTAACAGATGAGTGTATAGATAATTTTGGACACGAGCATGACGCAGTGTTGCAATTATTTTTATGTATAGTCAAGTTCGTTTTATTCGGCGCGGTTCTTAAATCATTAGTAAACGCAACACATTTGGATTTGTCAAAATTTATCTTTAGATTATTATTTGAAAACCAATTATCGAGTAGTGAAATATCAGATTCACTTTTTTGCCAAGTTAATTCCCAATTCGAACTAGATACTATAATTGCAGTGTCATCCGCGTACGAGAGGATTTTTCCGTTTAACGGAAATCTACCTAGTGCAGGTACGTACATAATATATAAAATTGGGGACAGTACTGTGCCGTGGGGGACTCCTCTACGTTTGTTTTCTACTTCACTTAGGGTATTATCTATTCCAACTTGCTGGGTCCTATCTTCTAGATACGATTTAAAAATTGCAAAAGCTGACCCAGTGATGCCAAAAGAGTTTAAGCTATCTAGTAGTGTTGTATGTGATATGCTGTCGAAGGCTTTGCTGAGATCTGGAAATATACCAATAGTTTTATTATGGTTATCTAAATTGTCATATATATCTTTGGTTAGGTTTGCTAGAGCATCTTCTGTACCTAAACCTTTTCTAAAACCATACTGTGAGTTGGGTAACAAATTGTTTTCTTCTAAATAACTTATTAGCCCGGTTTTGATAGCTTTTTCAAATATTTTAGAAAATACATTCAATAAACTGATTGGCCTAAAATTATTTATGTCAGTTTTTTAACCTTTACCTTTGTATATAGGCGAAACTAATGCATTTTTGAAGGAGTCCGGGATAACCCCTTCTTTTAGTGTTTGATTAAAAATTTTTTCTAATACGGTAGCTAAAAATAATTCTGGTTTTTTGATAACATTAATTGAAATACCATCTGGACCCGGAGCAGAATCATTATTCATATTAGATATTATTTTGCGTATTTCAAATTCAGTAAACCTTCTCAAGTATATATGTAAATAAATGGTTAGTTGCTATTGGTATCACAAACTTTGAATATTATATGAATCTTCGTATTTTACAAAAACTATACGTACAGGGTCATCCAACTAACGTAAAACAATCATTTTCTCGGAAAATATTAAATATTTTTGAATTTCTTTTTCCTATACTTGTAGGTACATATTTTCCT